TAGCCGCTGCGGCAGTTAAGAGCAATGGAATAATGGTCACCAGTCTCATCATCATCAGCAGCAGCGTATGATGATCATCATCATTGTTAGCATTATTATAATCGAATTTACCCAATAAAAAAACGTCATATCAACTATGGTGCCATAATGTTGGTGAATTGTCATAATTCCGCTGCAAATCCGATGAAAGATTCTAAAAGCCCAAGACATTCTACGATATTCACAATGTGCATGACAGCACCGAGTAATGAAATGGCTCATGTCTACCGATTTATTAAATGTCAATCGCTAATTTTGTGCGTTTCTCGATGCCTTGGGTATATGAGATTAGAGAACTTGAGTAAACATGTACGGTCTAAACATGCACATCAATGACACATTCATTTGTTCTAACAACAACAAGAAACCATTGCACCAAGTGTTGTGGCTCGATATACACAAACGGACGACAATCGCCACACCAACATGAATAACAAAATGAGATATTTAAATGTGTGACCTAAAAACAAAACTAAATGGCCTGCAGCAACATACCTTGATACACATACATTTCAGCCTAATCATTTTGGCCCAGACACTAAAACTTTCTAAAACCAACACTGCAATTCCAAACTATGATTTCTGGTGAGAGCGTGGGGTTTATATAAATCTTTCCAAGCCACTTGTAGGATACAATTTTCAATGGTAAACAACCAACTTTGAAAGCACGTTGGTAACAATATTTATTCCGTTTAACACGGAGCAGTAGGGCTTTCGTCACCAATATTATCCACGAGGTCTTCCGGGTTAGATCGCGTAAATATAAATGTGTCGTCAAACCTGCCACCACCCGACACAGCCAATTCGTGAAAGTTTGTCACGTAAACTAAACGCGCCAATTCGTTACTAGTTCAGCACACGGGTGTGTTGGAGAGTAAACCCTGCTGATTAAACCAATAGTAAACCCCATTGTGTTGTGGGTTTACTCTCCAACACGACGGTGTGCTGTACTAGTAACTAATTGGTACGTTTTGTTGACATAACAAACCTTACTAATTGGCCGTGTCGGGTGGTGCCGTGTTTAACGACACATTTAAATATACGCGATCTAACCCAAAAAAACCTCTATCATGGAGAATAGTTATTGTTCATTGCAAGCTAAACATAACACATACATTTATATTGCTTGTAGAATTAGTACTCTTTGCTGTTGCTATTACTGTATTTACGATTGCAAAACTATATTCTGTTTTGCTACAGAACATAAATATATTGGGCATTCATATAATTCATGGGAATATACTCAGCACGTGTTGTTAGCATAAAAACACAAGTCACACACGTAAAGGGTGACTTTCCAGTCGACGATGTGGACATCATTGCAAGCAAGAATCATTTGTTAAATATAAAACGTCAATAAACACACACAATCTAAATAAACCCATGCACGTAAAAATACACAAGATCACATAAATACACAACGGAACATATAGTCGTTAACCAAATAAAACGTGGACACGCTAACACAGACGCACCGAAAAAACGCACCATGAAACAAAAATGTGTAACTGCACACAAATTGCCAAGTACGAACATGTTAACAAGTCTTCAAATGGAATTACTTATGAAAAAATTTAATATATTTTTAACTAGCACATTTATAAATAGCGGCGATGCGAGATGCGCCTCACCAAAGTGTACCCAGCTGCACCCGCTGACAAAAGGAGGCAAGAGAGCGGTGTCACCTGAGGTACCCTTCCTTCATTACACGTCTTGCCAGGGATCACTTTCACCACTACTAACTACCACAACCAGCACGTGTGGAAAAAAAACATCATCAGGCTGCCACGATATTTCATTTTTTCAATTTCACCCATCAAGAGGGCGAAGGGGAGGGGAATCGTTCGAATTTCCAACAGCCAACAAAGCATCACATGACCCAAGTGAACGGTTTCTGAAGACAGTACCAGAGACAACTTCTAAATTATCTTCAAATGGCCTACTTTATCCAACACCAGAGATTGCGCTCTTTTTTGTGTTCGGTAAAGAGTGGCTACCTGGATGTCAAAGCACCTAATGTGTTCAGTCAATTTTTACCCCCAAAAAACAGGACGAGGCCTGAATAAGAGAATATCAGCAGAGTTTAGTCGACTTAACACTGATAGAAAAAAGTCATTTAAATGTTTTGTTTACTTTTACAGAGCTCAGTAATGAGAAAGGCGTGAACAAACCATAACGAGAAATCCTAGCTCTGGAAACCATAACCAGATAACGATGCCCTCATCTTAACCTGAATGCATGACTGCATTAGACCGCACACACAAACTAAACGTTTTCTCATTGCTACGACATGAAGGATTACTTTGCTGATCGAGTCATTCATTCCGATTGACGTTTACAACTTAAAATGGTCGCTCAAAGCAGGGGGGGTTGGTGGGACTCCAAGCGATGGAAATGGCGTTATTGCGTTGGAAGCCGACTGCAGCTCATTTTCAAGCCCGTCATTTCAAGGCGCTGGTTTAGTGCTTGGACGTGGAAAATGTAATCTCTGAGTCTGTGATAGCTTATATTGTTAACAGCTTGGTAGGTTAAGCGATACACATTTCACCAGGCCACACACTGCACACTCAACGATGTACTCTCTCAGGTCGTGTGCCAATTGAAAAAAAAAACCTGTTTCTAAAAATACCACGGGACAGATTTTCATAATTCTCAAGCAAAACAAACACTAAGTGAAGAGTTAACACCAGAAACCACACGCGTACATAAATGCATGCAGTGAGTGCCACCTTAATCCTGTCACCAGAACACGACAAAAAAAATAAGCTCTATTTCTAAACCACCTGTCCCACTCCATGGCACACGAGCATGTACGCATTCAGCAAGCCCATTTTCCATCCAAGTTCAAGTCGTAAAAAGGCTGATCCCCAACCATCGTAACCCGGGCAAGATGCTCAACCACAGAAAACAACTCAGCGAGGCTGTGATTTTGACGAGAGTAGACATTGGCTTTGCTGGCCTCAACAGGCACTCACTAACAGCACTCGTCTGGACCATGTGACCAGCTTAATAAACAGCGGCCCTCCGTTTGCGCTTCCGCGTGTACACGTGCGTGTGCAATAATCGTTACCCATGCATCTTCCCGTCAGCTGTAATTATAGTAATTGTAGCTGCCAAGCACTATGCACCATGTGAGTATTCGCATGTGCACAGATGCAAGCTTCCATACCCTACCCTGAATGCAAAAAATAAAATACCAAAAAACATTAATGAAACCAGTTCCGTAATTGAACGTTAAAAAGTTTAATTATGTTTAGTGTTTTTTTTTACTTAGTTGTAAAACTTATAATAGATGATAACATCTGTGGGGAGGCCACGTCGCTGGTCGATAAGATTACATGGGAGAGTATCCTCACATGCATTACATAGGCGCCTTACGACGGCGCCGCTGTGGCGAGATGTTAACTACCTCGCCTGGTATACAGGGGGTTGTGGATACGATCCTGACCCTGACGCCTGCTGAATATTTGAAGTTTGCACATTCTCCCCATGGTCACGTGCATTTTTCTCCGGGTCATCCGGTTTTTCACTCCACATTTAGAATCAACATCATGCGTTTAGATTATTTGACTGCTTGAAATTTCCAGGTCATAAGCCACTTCGTTAAGCTGTCATTTGTGGCCAGGTCGTTTCTGAAAAATAGCTATACAGGTAAGTGGGCCTAACCTGGTAAACTAAAAATTGTTTACTTTAGTAATTTCACAATTCAACATTGCTGCTGTCCTTCCGGAAGTTCGCCGCTCTAAGCGCCACTTTCCCCAAAAACAATATCCACGAGCGTTATCCACATTCATCACAGTTTCACACGTGGTTCACAACATTATCCAATCATCACATGCTAACGAAATACAAAACGTAACGATTATACCTTCCCAAAACTTTCCGTTTGGTCAGTGTCAAGGCACCAACATGAGCAAAATATTTCTCTCCAAAATGAGGCGGTGCTCATCTCATTGTAGAAACATCACACAAGTTTAGGAAATTCAACATTCCCAAGCGTCTCCACAGGCTGTTGACGTCCCCACAAAGTGGTACTTAATTTATCGGACTCGGAGGAATGATGGGCCGAGTCAACCCCCCAACAAGGATTTTAATTCGCAACTTTCTGATCGCTCTACCGCTGAGCCACCAGGTCAGATGCCAAGGTACACAGTATACGAGACTGTACTTCTAATATGAGAAACCGGTTATGGGCCTTTGACCGCGAATGGTTAAATCACTTTGTTCGCCAAGGATGGTTTATATATTTGTAAGTGTTTATCACGGGGTGAACAGTAATGGAGAACTTTCGGTTGACCCTGATGTGTCACCAAAGCAATCAACCTCCAGATGGAAAATTGCTAAGGTTTTACGCTTTGGATTTTTATAGACTTAAGCGTAAACTCCACTAGAATTGCGTAAATGGCGTTATTATAGCCCTTCTGGAACATTACTAGAATGTAAATGAATCTATCCCATCACTAAAAAACTACAATCGCCAATAAAGACATTTTAGGCAAAGTCCCTTCTTCACAGCACGTGAAATCAATCTCCTCCCTCATGACTGCTGACATGTATATGCCACCGTGCTCCCACAATGCACTCCTGTCAGGATATAATTTTTTCCTCAATAATTCCTCATGACCGAGCTCTGATGCATGCAACGATGATATAATGTGTAGGTGAGCGACTAAGTGGGGGGCATCTGTGAACAACACACTGTGGTGCTTTTCCTTATACCACATTCACGTCAAGTGACATGCGGACATATCACGGTCAAATATAACAAAAACATACATAAAATAACCGCATCACGTGACGAAGAACAGATTTGGTCACTAGACCTCGTGCACACATGTACAGCGGGCAAGATGGAGAAGTCGTGAAACGCAAATGAGTATTTTTGGTGCGGGTTTTTCGAGCGGTGCACACGGTGACCGCTGGTGTTTTGTGAGCGCCGCGTGCTGGTGCGTGTGCTGCACCTGCTTCTCGCTGAGCGCCGTGATGCGCGCCTGCCGTTCGTGCAGCTGCTTCTTCAGCTCCACGTCCTGGCGAATGGACACGCACAGGTAAAGGGATGTGGCCCCGCACACTCCCGGTGGCGACACCCAGACTCTAAACAAGCTTTGCTCCGGTCACCCTCGCAGCGCCGGCTTTTAGCTGGCAATCGAACATACATGGAGCACTGGGGTGTGAATATCCGTGGCACAACGCAGACATACATTGAGCGGCAGGAGTGCATTGTGATGTGAGACTAATGCACAGTACATGTCATGAAGGTTACTGCATCGCGGGCTTTCAGATGTATTTCTGCGGCCATCTGGAATGTTGTTCCTTCCGATATTAGAAAGCCACTGGAGTTACGCACGTTTAAATCATCTAGATTGACAAACAATCCTTTAGAACTGCTTTTTGTCTTTAGTTTGTTGCCCTTCCACAGTCACCTCCAATGAGCATGGTTGGCTATGTATGGTGCAAAAGAAGTTCAACGTACACACAGACATACAAGCTTGGACTTGGACACAGATGGACCTGAATGCGCATGGTCAAGAACGAGCGCGAAAATTAACAAGTGTAAACGTGAACCCACAAATAAGTACACATGTGGACAAGAACAGACATAGATTTCAAACACTAAAATGATTAAGCCTTAGTTGTCAGCACCTCCATAATTGTCACATTTAAAGATGAACACAGACATGTGCACAGATATGAATACAGCCAAACTCTACCACACAAGGATATAAACTGGACCGAGATTTTAACAAACCCACGTGAACATACATAGAAATGAACAGACACAAATGTCAAACAACAAAGACATGAGCATATATACATTAACATATATACACAGGGCTACGAGTCTAAAATATGAAAACATACAGATTTGGTTACACACACAGAGATATGTGCTACAGAAAGGGCACACAAACAAACACAAAAAACCCCCATATAATCTGGAACGGACTGTTGGGGCAAGTGCAGTTAGTGAATAGCACCTATGAAGGCCGGCACGGCACACTAGGAGGTGGAATGGCCGACACCACGCTCGGCTGCCTTTATCTCCCCAGTGGTGATATTTACGCAACACACCAGGTACTCATTTGAGGCTTAGTCGACCTAGGGGAGGCCCTAGGACCAGTTCAGATAATCATCACTGGTGTTGGCCGCGAACTGAAATCAAACTCGGGTTGCCAGTTTTGTAGCGCAGCGTAGTGCTAACCGCTACACTGCTGCTCCCACACACAGGTGTTAAGAGTTGTAATAAAATAATGTGTTATACATTTTACTGCAAGTTTCAAACATTTATGACTTGACAGGTTTTTTTATATACTAACCTGTGGATCCTGCTTGATCTGTGACACCAGTTTCTAAAAAGAAATAAATCTGAATTATAACTACGTAGCATTCGCATGTTAATAATAACAACTCTGCTATATGCAAATTCGTGTTTTGGATTTTGTGCTTACATGCACAATACACTGTGTTATGGTAATATAATTAGGCAGGTAGAGAATTGCAAGTTGCCAGTGGCAATGCTTTGAAATCAGCTGTCAATGCAAAGGAAATAATAACCATCTTTTGGAGCAAGCAACAAGCCCTGTACTTTGATTAACCATTTTAAGTTGTGAACATCAATTACAATTAATGGCACAACAACAAAATCAACTTCATTTCACCAATTTTTTTTTTAAAGTTTGGTTTGTGTACAGGCCAATGCAAAAATACATGACTTGAGTCAAGACTAAGACTAGGATCAGATTGTGTAAGGAGTTAATTTGATCATAAAATGTAGTGTGTAGATAAAATATAGGACGATGTTCATGGTGTGCTTTTGGGAAAACCAGTGTAGGTTTACAGCATGGAAGGGGGTGCAATTATGACTTTTGAATAGAGAAGAGGCCGATAATAGAGGAGGCATACAATAGAGAAGAGCTGGGAAAATGCAGATGATCGTTGTATTCATGTTGTTGGCTTCAGGCAAGCATATGATTATGTTAGGATAGAAGGAGAATGACATTTTATAGGTGGTTCATTCTAGATTTGAAGTTTTCGTGACTGCAAGGATCCATACTCTTTGGTTCTTTCGGTAAAGTCACGTAGGTGAATTTTTATTATTATTTTATTTGTATTCTTATTTTTTTATTTGTTTCACCTACGTGACTTTACCGAAATAACCAAAGATTATTTTCTCGGTGGTTGTGGGATTCCAGGTAAGATAAGCAGACTGCTTAAGAAATTGTATCATGGGCCTCAGAGGTGCGAGGAGGAGGAGAAATATCCGAGTGACTTATGGCATCAATGTTTTGCGCATTGTTCTGCTCGACTGGATAGTTTTATATGGCATCACATCCATGGGTCACAATGGAGACGTATGTGGTTGATGATATGCGAGTGAGGACCTTGGTTAGGTAAATGCAGTTTGTGACAGTTTTAGACATCAGGGCCAAGGTATTAATCAAATAGTAAGACTTGTGTTAAGACTGCGGTCTTAACGTGAACTTACATAAAAAGGAAGTGTATTGATGGACTGCATACACCTGGATCTGAATTGCCATTCGAAGACTATGGAAGAAGTGAGAATATGGAGGCAGTAGGGAGCTGTGCATGTAATAATGGCAGCGATGTGCATACTACATAGAGAAATCAAAAGAACTGCATCAGCATATAGATAGATGGTTGTTGGACTTTATGAACCACTTTGGAAGAGTAGAGACATCCAATTTAGTGATGGGTGTTTGAGGCAGGAGTAATGTCCTTGTTTCTGTATGGGCCAGGGTAAACTTGAGTCGGCCACATGTATAGAACAAAGTACAGGTTGCCAAGACAGGCATTGGGAGTGGGATTCTGGTGCTCAGCGACTAAGGGGAAAAGAAAAAGCTGAATAATGGGCAGGTCTACATGCAGATGTTAAAGGTGTCAAATTTACAACTGTGGCCTGCAGTCGAAAGAAGCAAAGGTGAGGGTTGAAAGCATCGCCGGTAATGAGGGAGATAAGTGCTAAATTAAACGATCAATAACATTTCGCCGTTCGAAAAAGATTCAAGCCTCGTGAAGTGAAAAGGATGACTCAAACATGTCTGGAGTTTGTGGCTACGATGACAAAAATGTTGAGTTAGAGATGCGGTTATGGTTAGTCGAAGAGTCTAGCGTAGGATTGAAACTAGTATTTCGGACTAACGTTAAAACCAAAAAGAAAATGTTTGATTTTAAGTACAGGATAAGGGTTCATTCTAATTCAGAGTTCAGAATACTGATAATGTCAGGGTTAAATTGTACAGTTAACACTCTGGTCATGGTTAGAACTCGAGCGAAAGCAAACTTGGCTCTGGTTCCGTTCATCACTGATATCACGTCCACAAAATACAATTTGAATGTTGTGAGAAGGCGACGAGCAACTCCGACTTCTGGCACGGTGAACGCGTCTGTGACGGCTCTTGAACAATGAGCGCGAGTCGAACAAATGGTCTTATTTTGGTTGACTGGCATCGCTGTGAAATCGCGACTTACACTATTAACATCAAAGTCCCTCCCCGGTCGCCCCCTGGTGATACCGGCCTTTCACACCGCTCACACTCACCTGGTGTTGCTGAATTTCGTGCTTGAGAGCGTCTTGTAAGGTGTGAAGCTCCATCTAGGACCAAGGCAAACATACACAATCAAGCTTAACACTACATTGTAAAACACACACACACACACACCAACTACCCTATACAATGTCTTATCAGGCACACAGACAATAATGCAAAGTGGGTAACTGCCGTATAATTCAAAGTGTAATAGTTCCCGTGGTAGAGCGACGCATTATCGCTATCACTTGTCCTTCACAATGCGCACACAGCAGGACAAGTTATACATCAACGCACAACTAAAGAATGATTTGCGGCAATGTCCACATGGATGTGCGATGCGTTTAACGCAGTGCGCGTCACGCACAGCGGTATGAGAGACGTGATTACGAACAACACCATTCCAACCCCTTTACTTTATCCAGATCCTCCTTACTCCGTACTAATTATCTGCGCAAAAAATATAAATGAGGTTGTACTGTACTCTTTCCTGAAATGTGTGTTAAGAGTGCCGGTGCATTACCACGACGTTCAACGTGAAATAATTATAGTTCTTATTCACAGGCTGGAGATACAAAACAAGCGTCAACTACATTAACTCCACGCGGTTAAACTTGCGGAGGGATGTTGGTTTCAAAGCGTGAACATCGTATCTCCCTCCCTATCTCTCTCCTGGCCAAATAAAGCGACCCTGGTGTTGTTGTTGTTAAGTGAACGCAAGAGAACGACACGCATCACACCCATCAGCAGTTTTCGTGACTTCGGCGTGGAGCAAGCCTCGAGACTAAACGCGTCGCTGGGGTTTTCCTGTTCTCCTCGTCCCTGTGCGTGGTGGTGGTGGTTGTGGTGGTGGTGGTTGTGTGGGGGGCTGCTGCTGCTCGCCACGGTGGTGGTGGTGATTGTGTGGGGGGCTGCTGCTGCGGCGGCGTTGCTGTTGTGTGGAAGCAGCTGTCTCGTCTGGAGAGCTTTTGAGTTGTGTCCCTGTGCTCTTTGTGTGTCCCCCACGCTCACAGCCAGCAGCAGCAGCAGCGGGCCCCTTTTGTCAACCCAGCGTCCGTGTGTTCTCTCGTTTTTGTTGTTTAAATGCGCTAGATGGACGTGTGCGTGTCCTGGGGTTGTTCGTTGTTGTGTGTTCTACTGCATCGGTTGTCGGGATTGGTGGTGGTTGTTGTTGTTGTTGTGCGCGTTACATCTGTAGCGAATATGTTGAATGTTATTTCCCATTAGCTCGCTTTTAAATTTTTTTTTATCTTTTGTTTAGAGTCCCGTGGCGTGCCATTTTTATCATGTGCCGTCATTAATAACGCAATAGTTCACTATTGTGTCGCGTTGACATGCATGTTGCCGCTTGTATTTACTTATTACATTGCGGTGGCTTCGTCGTGGTAACTATTTGGTCGTTGTACGTGTGTGTTTGCCGCCTAGGTAGACTCGGCCTCAAATGAGTACATGTGTCGTAAACATCACCGCTGGGGAGACAAAGGCGGCCGGGCGTGGTGCTGGCCACCCCCCCCCCCCCACGTGCCACATTGCAGGTTACCTTCATAGGCGCTCGCTAACAGCACTTGCCCCAAAAGTATGTCGCAGGCTACACGGGGGATCTTTGTCTTTGTTTTGCCGTCAAAGTGCCGCTTAGATCACGGCCGCCGTTGTCATTTGCAATTCGTTGTTGTTGCGATTGTTGTTGTTGCGACTGTTGTTGTTGTTGCTGCGTCTTTGACTGTAAACGTAGGTGGGTGCTTGCTGTTGAGTGTGGTGGTGGTGTTGTTGGTGGTGTGTGCTCTGGGTTCGTGTTGTGGCTGGCGCATCAACTGCACTGCTACTCACACTAACCACCACTACTTTGTGATCCTCTTTTGTTTGTTGTGGTTCCCCGGCTTCGCGAGAAGAAGAAGAAAAAAAACCTCGACCGCACAAATCAAATCGCCCCCCTCACCGCACGTGAAACGACAACAAAGCATCTAAAACAATTCAAGTAAAACAATTCGAACATCCTTAACAATATGAATGACACTCGCCGCGGTCACCCGGCAAAGATCAGCGCCGTCGGCAGCACTAAAGGCGACGTTTGCGAGCCCCGCTGGTGTTGTGTTATAACCCCGTAGTAGTAGCAGCAGTAGCAGCAGCAGCAGTAACAGCAGTAGCAGCAGCAGCAGCAGTAGTAGTAGCAGTAGCAGCTGTAACGCGTTATGACACTCGCCGTGACATGAACGCCGAGAGGGATATTCGCGAAACTGACTGCAACAATCAGAAGGCGGGCGGTCACGCAAACAACACGACACGAGCACCGCCAACAACACTCCAGCAAATGACGGCTACGTGAGTAGCAGTGCCTTAATTGGTGGCGACAGTAATAGTGATATAAATGATGAAGATGCGAGTAGTAATAATAGCACAAAGGATTTTGGCCTCACCCGCTCCCCCCCTCCTCCTCCCTCCCTCCCGTTAACTTGGGCCCGAGCTCCTCTTACCAAAACCAGATCGCTCCTCTCCCTCCGTCCCCGACCTTCTGCCGCCGTCGAAACTCAACAAAGCGAAACCTCGGCGCGCTCGGCTGCCGGCGACCGCGCCGCACAGATGGACGCAAGAGCGACGGCGCGCAGGTCGCGGCGGTCGCGGCGGCTGCGAGCGGCTACGGGCGGCGGGCGAGGGCGGCGGGCCGAGCAGCCAGGCGAGCGGGGCGCCTCGCGCTCCCCGACCAGGCCGCGGCGCACTACTTCAGCCGGCAACGCGGAGGGGTTCGCGGCGAATCACCGCTCCGGCTCCCAACTCGCACTCCCCGTCTCGCTCCGCGCCCAGCACCAGCACCCCCCCCCTCACTCACTCCTCTCCAGCTCCTCACTCTCGTACAGCCCGCACACCCAGCCCCGCCCCTCACACCCAGCCCCGCCCCTCACACCCAGCCCCGCCCCTCACACCCCTCCATCCCACACACACAGCCCCGCCCCTCACTCCCCCTGCATCCGGACCCCCCCCACCGCTCATCTCTCCCTTTCCACCCCGCCCCTCAATCCCCCTTCATCCCGCACTCAGCCCCGCCCCCCACTCCCCGTCTCATCGTAGTCGCCGCCCCTCACCAACCCCCTTACCAGCCCCTCCCCTCTCCCCCCCCTTACCAGCCCCTCCCCTCTCCCCCCCCCTTACCAGCCCCGCCCCTCTCCCCCCCCTTACCAGCCCCGCCCCTCTCCCCCCCCTTACTAGCCCCGCCTCTCTCCCCCTGCCCCCCCCCCGCTTACCAGCCCTGCCGCTCCCCTTCACCAGCCCCGCCCCTCTCCTCCCCTTACCAGCCCCGCCCCTCTCCCCCCCTTACCAGCCCCGCCCCTCCCCCTCTTACCAGCCCCGCCCCCTGCTAGGTTCGCGTTGCCCCGCCCCCCTTGCGTGCGGATTTTCTTTTATTCTACCCCGCATACGATAATCGACTATCTATAATGTATAATAGAGTCACTATCATAGATAATCGATTCACTATCATGGGTAATCTATCCTCGATATGGCCAATCGATCCTCTATTATGGATAATCGATGTACTATCTTCAATAATCGATTTTGTATAACGGATAATCGATCCGTTGCGACTTTCGAGTCACCACTCAGATTTAAGAATCGCTTCCTTTCATCCTCTTGGCACATCCCTCTCGAAGCCGGAACATCGAGGGGGAATTCCGTTGATTGAGAGACGGCTGTCAACCCACGCGGCTTCTTTCCCCGAGTTCTTGTGCAGGGAAACTGAGTTCTCAGGTCCATACGGCGTACAGCCGGTTCATCAATACGGGCAGACACATGTTGATGTTGCACATGTGTTTGTGTCTCTCCCTTGTGACGATGGGACTTTGTAGGCAGAACGTTGAGATTTATGAGGGGCACGGGGTGACCAGTGAGGTCTGAATAGGTCTGTAATAAGGTCGGCACTGATAAGGGGTTGACAGGTATGTTTAGGGAATGTCCGATGAATTGCAAACAATACAGCGAATTAGATCATCTAAACCTCCAGTACATTTACATGCAATTCACACCCAACGCATGTATGACCACATATAAACGTACTAACAATTACAGATTGGCGACGTAATATTCCCAATGTAATAACACTCCAAATATAGATTTCAATGGATGACGTTCACGAGATTCGGGAAGGCTGGCGTGATTAATTAAAATAAACATTGAGACCATTTCCTGTGGCAATTTCTATTCAGTGTGTAGAGAAACGACAAAGCATGAGTAAAGACTTGGCCAAGGCGTCCAATTGAATGGTTTCACGGAACCCATCAACTCACCCACCACCACGTGGCCTGCCGATAACGTTCCAATATTCCTCTGAATACATAAAATACATTTGAAATGTAATAATTATTTATATTTATAATAAATTAAATGTTCACACCGTAGTGTAATTCACAAGCGCATTCCAACATTACTTAATTAGTGGTTCACGATATGAATTGTTCATCATTGATAATAATATTAAGGTATATCTCTAGATATTAACGTATATAGGATGATAAATATATAAATAGCATGCAATAACTATGGAGTATTAAAACACAGACTGATTCAATTGTAAACTGCTCTTGATTACGTTAACCTTTACACACGAGTTGATGAGTGATTCACGTAATTACTGCAGCCTATAACATTCTGCACACGCTACAATCATTGGTGGACATTTAATTAAAAAAAATGAATCTACCTGCCTGTCATACATGAATCTACCTGCCTGTATGATCCGACGTGATACCGAATCCTCAATTCGCAACTTGCGATCAAAAACTGCCTTACGATTTAAACACTATACACAAAACCTATGTTAGCATTCCAATTTAAACTAAAATATAATCTAAAACTACATTACACTTTTTTTAGCTCTTTTTCAGAAGCGGCCTGGCCACAACTGATAGCTCAATGAAGCGGCTTATCACGTGGAAATGTATAGCAGCCAAATACTCTTAAACGCGCGTCTCTGAATGAGAAGGGAAACACCGGAGGACCCGGAGAAAAATCCACGTGGCCACGGGGAGAGAGACACGCAAACTACAAATCTACAGGGTCGGGATCGAACCCACGACCTCCTGTATACCAGGCGAGGTGTTTAACATCTGGCCACATGGCATTTCTCTGCCCTAGCTATGGTTATGTTGTGCCAGAACCAAGCTGTGGGTAATTTAAGTCGCAGCTGAACAGTGAGCCACTAATTCATACTGGTTTTGAGAAAGTGGCAGCAAAAATCCAAAATCGCCTTCACTGCGAAGGAGAGAGACAACTTAACGGAGGAGAGACAACAACTGAACTACTACTTAACTACTACTTACTACTTAACTACTACTTACTACTTAACTACTACTTAACTACTGCTTAACACTCTTGTGGATTTAATAACAGAAGTTCCAGCTCAAAGGACAGAATGTGTGGCCAAATCGTCGTCTAGAACACCAACTCAAAGCGTTGAGAATGTGGCCATACCAATTTTAATTCGGGGCGAGATGTCAACTCCCTCGCCCGGTGTACAGGAAGTCGTGGGTTCAACGCCGACCCTGACACCTGCTGTATGTTTAGAGTTTGCAAGTTTTCCCCGTGGTCGCGTGGAATTTTTCCAGCTCCTCCAGCCCCCCCCGCCCCACATTTAGAAACATGCGTTCAGAGTATCCTGCGGCTTTAAATGTCCACGTTAATCAGCCCCTTTGTGGAGCTATCATTTGTGGGCAGGTTGCTTCAGAAAAATACCTATATACAGTAGTTCAGTGGGCCTTACCTGGTAAAATTAAAATAGTTTCGTTTAGTTTCAGATTATATCCTGATTAAAATTGGAATGCTAATATGTTTTTTTTTTACAGTGTTGAAATCGTATGGCAGTTGAGAATTGAGGATTCGGTATCATGTAGCTCAGTGGGCCTTACCTGGTAAATGAAAAGAAAACTAAATTAGTTTTTAGCTCAACGAGCTCCATGTTGTGGCCATTTCGTCATTTTCGACTAGCAGACTCAAAGAGTTCAGAAGATGTGGAGAACCAAAAGGCAGTGGGGAAACAAAGACCCAACTGTCGGCTGGATTCGTCCTTATTAGGATTCATCAGTGCAATGTAGTCATCAATGTGCGCTGCTGCTGCCTCTGGGAGCCTCGTATATGGAGAAGGCTTTATATGCTATGAGGGATCCATGTTCGCACTTTCCTAAGTAGTGTATGACAATAATTAACATCCGTACATGACGGGAAAACCCATCACAACAGAGACATCGGTGCGGGGCCTCATGTGAAGACGTGGCAGCAGCGAGCGCTGGCGGCGGCATCACAGCTGCACAGGCACCGATATCTTGTTTACATCACTGATGGTGCCGTCATTGATGTTGTTAAACTGGTGAATGTGTTCTGTCGAAGACACGTTAATGATAATGATGATGTTGTCAATAAAATGGGTGATTCTATCAATGTGCTTTTGCGTGTTTATATATATTATTTATACATTCACATTAACTAAGTCGTGCAACATTCTGGCGAGTAATCAGTTTATTTAGGATCATGTATCTTCATATAAAACTCCGCAACAGTATGTCCAACTGCGAGTTCATTTCACACGTCGGCTTTCGCGAACAATATTATTCATAATAGAGGTTATTTTGGGTTAGATCGCATAAATATATAAATGTGTCGTTAAACCCGCCTCCACCCGACACAGCCAATCTGGCTGTCGCCTGATGATGCTGGCTGTAATTACTGGCGAAAATAATTCTAAGTGTTGTGGTTTTACTCTCCAACACACCAGTGTGCTGTACTAGTAACGATTTGGCCACGTTTCGTTTACGTGACAAACCTTACTAGTTGGCTGTGACGGGTGGTGGCGGGTTTAACGACACATTTATATATTTACACGATCTAACAAAAAAAAACCTCTACTATGGACAACTGATAGTTATTGGTTAGAGGGAAGGTCAGTACATTTATGGCGACGTAGGACAGGATGCGTTGTACATGATAGATCAAATACACATGGAGTAAGTCGCCCTTGTTTTTCCCTTGTCAAATAGAAATTGCAATGCGCCTCACAGGCACATCAAATGCCGGGTGTATAATTGTAGGGAGAAGAATAGTAGTCCTCCACAATTAAACACACACATATATATTCAATGTTGCAATGTGTTAATTCAGATCTTAATATAAGAACTGATATCATACCTGGTGACGAAACGTGCTGGCAGTTGTGTATATTCTTGCGTACGGCAGCTATATGTTCAGGAGCGATATGCCAATGTCGAGTTCTGTTAGCCAGGAGAGACTTCGCCTTGGCTATCGCCACGACTCCGCTGAAGAAGAAGAAGTCGTTAGGGTGGCATGGCCACAGTCGAACCCCGTGACTTGTCGCTCATCACGCATTCTGTGTATCTCAAACGAGCCCCAGTGCATCTCTGTCTTCTCTCTGCGTGTTGGTGAACTGAGTGACAACGATGTTTCAGTTTCATTTATTAGGTATAGCCCTGTGAGCAATTCGGCTCTTGAATCGGGTGCAACCGCAACAAACAAAAACATGAACAAGAAAACATCTTAAAGTGACGACGCGCAAACAGAAAAATCCAGAAAAATCTGCAAAATCTTCCAGAAAAAAGCACCGTACACCAACGCTGTGCAAAAATCCCAGTGGGATGCAAGTCAAACAACAACAACCACAAGACAACTTCGATGTGGTCTGCTGCTGCTGCTGCTGCTCGCCACGACGAGAGAGAGACAGAGGGCTTCAGCAAACTCGAGTTGGTGCCGTTCCTCCTCCGTTGAAGGAGCGTGCCACTGACACGATTTACTATGCGGGTGGACTATAGGGGTGGACTATAGGGGGTGAACTATAGGGTGGACTATAGGGGTGAACTATAGGGGGTGGACTATAGGGGTAAACTATAGGGGTGAACTATAGGGGGTGGGCTATAGGGGTGGACTATAGGGGTGAACTATAGGGGGTGGGCTATAGGGAGTGAACTATAGGGGTGAACTATAGGGGGTGAACTATAGGGTGGACTATAGGGGTGAACTATAGGGGGTGGGCTATAGGGAGTGAACTATAGGGGTGAACTATAGGGGGTGAACTATAGGGGGTGAACTATAGGGGGTGAACTATATGGGTGAACTATAGGGGGTGAACTATAGGGGTGAACTATAGGGGTGAACTATAGGGGTGAACTATAGGGGGTGAACTATAGGGGTGAACTATAGGGGGTGAACTATATGGGTGAACTATAGGGGGTGAACTATAGGGGTGAACTATAGGGGGTGAACTATAGGGGTGAACTATAGGGGGTGAACTATAGGGGTGAACTATAGGGGGTGAACTATAGGGGGTGAACTATAGGGGGTGAACTATAGGGGTAAACTATACGGGGTCGGTAGTTTTTGGACCGTGTGCGTAATAACTGCAGACAAAACCACGGCTTTTGCATGCTACGATCCATGCAGTGCGGGATTCAAACACTTTGTGTAAATTACCAAACCCCCTCCCACCCCATCGCAACAAACAAAAACATCACAAACAGCGACGCTGAGGCACAGCACGTGTTTAGAAGAAGCGAGCGCTACGAACCTGGCGACCCGGTAACCTGGGCCTCCCCTAGGTCGACTCGGCCTCAAATGAGTACTCGGTGCTGTGTGTAGTAAACATCGCCACTCGGGAGACAAAAGCGGCCGGGCGTGGTGCCACCCACCCACCCCCTCGTGTGCCACCGTGCCGGACTTCGTAAGCGCTCGCTAACAGCGCTTGCCCCAACAGTCGGTCAAGGCTACACGGGGGGTCTTTGTCTTTGTTTGCCTTCTGCCGGTGTTGGCGGGTCGCGCACCGCGGGATAATCATCACCAGGGGGGGCCCCCCACTGCATCGTAGCGCGCTCTGCATTTCTTGGTACCTGTCCGAACCGAAGTGTTCAATCGTAGAGCGGCGTTTGTCGTAGCAAAACAACAACAGCAGTTTTTTTTTAAATCTTGCTGTGGTTGTCCCACCTGACTGACGATGGCTTGCGTTGCGATCGAAACGTCGTGATCTATTATTTTTCTACCTACGTGACTTTGCCGAAAGAACCAAAGAGTATGGATTCCTGCAGTCGCGAAAGCTTCAAATCAAGATTGATACAACAACAGCAGCAACCTGCAGCTTTCACCCGCATCCACGCTGACGGAGGGTGGCGAGAGAAGGGAGAGAACAGGACGGTGGTGGGGGTGGTGGTGGTGAGCAACTTGCAGGAGCTCTGCAGCGCTCGCCCCACGCAGCACGATTCAGGAGCACGCATCGTCCGTACGCCCTTCCACTGGCACGCGCGCGCGCGCTCGCCACAGCGCTAGAAATGTATTCATAACCACGGCACGAGTCGTGCACGACTTCACAGCTGCAATATTAGTTCCGCAACCTCCGATCGGCTACGTACGGCGCGAAAGAAGCGTCGGCACACGTGCACGCTTTGGGGTGCATTCTTTTGGGGTCAGATCGCGCGCAGTCGATTGCGATGTCGTGCACCCTCCTCCACCGTACGCGGCCGCTTGACCACGTTGCCGCCACGTGACATTACTGGGGAGAAGTCCTCAACGATTGCCCCCCACGAGAACTGACGAAGAGGAGCTTCGCTCCGTCGATGGGTCTCTGCGTGTCCGTGGGTCTGTGTGCGCGTATGTGGGTCCGTGTGCGCGTATGTGGGTCTATGTGCGCGTATGTGGGTCTCCGAGCGTGTCTGTGCGTGTCTGTGGGTTTCTGTGCGTGTCTGTGGGTTTCTCTGTTCGTCTCGGGGTCAATCTGTGAGTCAAATAAATTTTAAAAAAGATGATTCCTTGATCCCTTCTGGATCAAGGATTTTCACTCCCACCCCCGCGTTTCACCTTCGCCCAGTGGCGATGTTTACACACCGCACCAGGTACTGATTTGAGGCTGAGTCGACCTAGGGGGGAGGTCCAGGACCGGTTCAGATAATGATCACTGGTGTCGGGCCGTGAGCGGGGAATTGAACACGGGTCGCCGGGTTCGCAGGGCATCCGCGCTAACCACTGCGCCACCGCTCCCTACACCCCCACTCACTCACCCCCCCACCCACCCACTCCTAACCCCGCCCAGCCCCTTTAAAGGAGCCGGCGGCCGCGTCTGCAAGGTAGAGTGAGAGAGTGAGAGAGAGAGGTCCAACGCAGATATTTAAAGTTCGCGGTAGAGATAAGGGAGCGCTGTGCGGGTGAAGGGGGCTCGGCAGATTGTTGCGGAGAGTAACGCGGCGAGGAACAGGCAGCTCGCCGCCAAGGGGCAGAGACACGAGAGAGAGAAGGGGGTTCAGCAGAGAGAAGGGAGGAAGGAGGAGAGTTGAGGACGAGAGATCGTTGCGATGGGTCGACTCAGCACGGGGCTCCTGCCGCTGCTCACGCTGGCGATGGCTGCCACCTCGCTCACCCACGGCAAACTGGGTGAGTCACGACGCACACGCAACAACAACAAACAAACAACAACAACAACCGCCGTTCGCCACTAAGTTGCGGTGATGTCACCACGGCGCTTGTGCCAGGCCAGGTGCAGCTTTGAGGCCACGTGAAGTGTCGAAGGCTCGCGCACACAAAGACAAAGTTCCCTCTTCCGTCTGAGCCTTCATCAGACCGTTGGGGCAAGTGCTGTTGGGGCGAGCTCCCTGTAGCCACGTGGGCTATATAGGTCGTGTTTGCGAGCACCTATTATGGACGCATGTTGAACTTCTTTCGCACCGTACGGAGGTTCTGGGGAAATGACGGCAACCTGAATACGAGCGTGTGAGTCGGTGCTCACGATGCGATGGTGGTGTAGACTCGTCTTGGGGAGCCAGTGGTGGAAATTCCACATTCCTGCGCCGAGGGAGAGATTATACCCCCCCAGCCACTGTTGACTTCCCTACAGCGGTACTCATGTTATCACCCAAAAGGGATCCTGGGCTGAATCACCCTCCACGCCCTCAACAAACTGGCTTGCGGTTCGGAGCTTGCCAGGGTGACGTGGGTGGCAGTGCTCCGATGTCCCCTCTGCTGCCCCGTCACAACCCAACAAAATAAACAAAATATTTTTGTTAAATAATTAATTTTACCAGGCTCGTTTTCAGAAGCGGCCTGGCCACAAACGATCGCTCCACGAAGTGGCGGCTTCATCATCACCACCACGTGGACATGTGCAGCGGACAAATTCTCTAAGCGCACGGCGGTTCTAAATGTGGCGGGGAAAACCGGAGGATCCGGAGAAAAATCCACGCGAGCACGGGGAGAGAGAAAGCGACGGGAGAGACGCGCACACTCCAAACGGACAGCGGGCGTCAGGGACACGCAAATATAACCCGCACTGACCCGCGTGGTGAAGTATGGTCACCCCCGCCCCCCACCGCTCACATGGCGTGGGGGAGACCCTCACCACCACCATCATCACCATCATCATCGCCCATCAGTGAATTGACAACACGGCCTGGAGAGTGATGACGGCACGACGCGAGGCGCTGGGGCAAATCCGCGCACTCCCGGCCCCTCCAAGCCGCGCTCATTCTCACCACGCTGCTGCCGAGCCCGAGAGCGAGCGAGCGAGCGGACGTCTCGGCCACGTTCACAATCGGGGCCGGATTACGGTGCACGAGGGGTCTAAGATGAAGTGGGAGGGGGGGGGCACGTGTGTTTTACATATTGAGCTGATGGCTCCGAAAGCTTTCTGGGTCTTCGCGGCAAATCGACGGCGGATCAATATCCGATTGCGTCCTGCCCCATGGGGAGAGGTGGGGTGGTGGCTCGGCCACTGAACGGCACGGAGGGGAGCTCCTCTGCCCTGGCCTGGCTTGCGAACCGTCCAGAGCACTCCTCGAATTCCCCAACTTGCCACGGCGCCCTTGGGACACGGCGGTTGCGAAAGACGAAGACGAGGCTCTGCCGCTCCGCTGCGGTCGTGTTGCAAGGGCGGCCGCCACCAGGCTAGGAGATGTTAGCTACCTCGCCTGGTATGCAGGGGGTCGTGGGTTCGATCTCTACCCTGACGCCTGCTGCTGTATATTTGGAGTTCGCGTGTCTCTCTCTTTCATCATCATCACGGTGGCTATGAGATGTTAACTACCTCGCCTGGTATGCAGGGGGTCGTGGGTTCGATCTCTACCCTGACGCCTGCTGCTATATATTTGGAGTTTGCGTGTCTATCTCCTGGTGGTCGCGTGGATTTTTCTTCGGCTCCTCCGGTTTTTCCCTCCACATTCAGAATCGACATCACGCGTTTAGAGTGTATGGCTGCTCTGAGTAATTGGCTGCGCATGATAAAGCCACTTCATTGTCCAGATCGCTTCTGAAAAAAAGAGCCTGTCCTATAGCTCAGTGGGATTTGCCTGGTAACACAAAAAAAATAAGTTGCCCAGGTAGCATCATTCAGGAGTGGTTGTCATCCTCCACCACGGAGGCTGGCGGACATCCGTGCCAGCCCCAGGGAAAGGTCAACTTGTTGCCAAGCCCGCGGTTGTCCACCTCTGCGATGTGCCGTGTGCGCGCTGAGCCCCTCCGACTGTTACGAGACGGAAGCTTCCTGGGCGGTAGCTGGACACGCGATTTTACCCGGGCAACAAAAGGTTGCAACGAAAAGTTGCCTGCAACCAAAAGCGCACGAGGCCGCACAAAATGGGGCTTCTTCGCGCCTGTTAATTTACGAAAGGTGGTGCGTGGAATTTGATTTTTAAAAAATCTCTCTCTAAAAAAACAAAGTTTAAAACCAGTTTTTTGTTGATGCAACCCATGGGTTTCACATTCCTGCATACAAATACACGGACGTTAGTTCAACCAACGTCGAGCGACGGCGTTTGCTCACTCTTGCGTGCGGCAAGTAGCAATCGCCGCATTTGTGGGTTTTTTTCCAGTACGTGGCGGTTTCTGGAGACAAGTTTCAACTAAAACGGCACCACCGCCACGTTACATTAAAAACAAACACACACACACGCACTCTCTCGCGGGCCTTGGGGCGATCGAAACGCCTTGTGTGATTGAGACCTTTGTGTTCTTTGAGTGTTGCGTGATGAGGAATTCGTTGTTTAACTAAAACGATGTAGATCGACAGGTTTATCCTTGTTGTAGGAAGACAATGACGGGTAGCCAGTCCTGTGGACAGGGTGACCTGTGCCCAGCCACAGCGAGACCCCCCCCCCACTTCCCACACTAACAAAGATCCCCCGTGTAGCCTCAACAGACTGTTATGGCAAGTGCTGCTAGCGAGTGGCACCTGTGAAGGCCGGCACGGCGCACGAGGAGGTGTGGGTGGCCAGCACCACGCCCGACTCCAACTCACCCCCACTCACCACCACTCACCACCACTCACCCCCGCCAACAAACCACCACTCACCCACCCACACTCACCCACCCGCACATACCCCCACACACCCCCACACACGCCCACACACCCCCACTCACCCACTCCCATACTCAACCACTCACTCACCCCCATACTCCACCACTCACCCACCCACCCCCACACACCCCCCACCTACCCCCACTCACCCACCCCCACACACAACCACTCACCCACCCTCACTCACCTACCCACCCCCACACACCCGCACACCCCACCACTCACCCACCCCCACACACTACCACTCACCCACCCACCCCCACAAACCCACACACACCCCCACTCACCCACACACTACCACTCACCCGCCCCCACTCACCCACACAACCCCATTGACCCACACCACCACTCACCCACCCCCACACTCCACCACTCACCCACCCCCACACACTACCACTCACCCACCCACCCCCACAAACCCACACACACCCCCACTCACCCACACACTACTCACCCGCCCCCACTCACCCACACAACCCCATTGACCCACACCACCACTCACCCCTCCTCTCCTGTCCCTGGGGTTCGGGGATGACGTCGCCAATGGTCAGCTGCTCTGCTGGCTCGTCACGTGGCTCTGTGGAGCCACGCGGCAGAGAAAGCAATGGCTGCGTCAGATGCAAAGAGCCACCACCACGGCTTGGAGCATTCCGGATGAACGTTTTTCGCACTTCCAAGCACAACGCGAGGCCACTCTTCCCAAAGCCTTCCTGCGCGCCCACTACGACACCGCCATGCCACGCGCTTCTCACTTAGGGCGTTCTTGAAAACTCTCAAGAGGCCTCCTCGTTCGAGATTCCCAGAGAGTATTAGATAGTATCAGAGAGTATTAGCTAGTATCAGATAGTATTAGATAGTATCAAATAGTATTAGATAGTATTAGAGAGTATCAGATAGTATCAGATAGTATCAGATAGTATTCGATCGGTAGTTGTGTTGGACTCGTGTGACTAGTGCCGTTCTCGGGCACGTGAATGGCATATGAGCGGAACCACTCCAGCTGGGTGCGGATCAGGTGACGCGCCCCGACGCCGAATGATCCTCGACGTTTGATGGCGGGCAGCCCTCGCAGGCGTCGTAGATGGGAGACGTCAGCAAAACCGTTTGTCGCGTCGTCGGTAGCGAGTCCGCGTTTTTGGCACCTGGGCGGCAGGTGCCACGGGGAGTCACGGCAATTGTAAACTTTAATTTCTGTTTGTGAATGGATTCCAGCACGTTTGCTTCCTGGAGCCGACGACGGGGGCGATGATGATGATGGGCCGTCGCTGGCTTCCTTGACTCGCGCGTCGCCTTCGTGCTCTATTGTTGCTTCACTCGTTCCACGCAAAGTGAACTTGCTTGACGGCCTTAAGCGTGGGGTTTTCCAGATGTCAGTCTAACACGTAGTAGGTTTTCGCGACCAATATTATCCAAAATCGAGGTTTTTTGGGTTAGATCGCGTAAATATAAATGTGTCGTTGTACCCGCCACCGCCCGGCATGGCCAATTAGTAAGTATTGTCACGTAAACACAACATGCGTGACAAACTTTACTAATTGGCTGTGTCGGGTGGTGGCGGGTTTAACGACACATTTCTATTTACGCGAACTCACCCAAAAGAAACCTCTACTATGGCTTTCCAGATGCATTGTTGGGCCCTGACGGGGTTCACCAGCGAGCTGGCTGGCGGGCCGCGCGAGCATCTTGCCGGCCACCAGAGATGCCGTGGCACTTGCCGACGTCCCCCCGTGAACCTTGACGTTTTGTGGACGGTGGGCGATGTTGGCATCTTTCATTTGCTGCCGTTTAGTTTCCCGAAGTCAAACGTGCGAAGAATAAAGTCGAGGAGTGTTTTTTCTTTCTTTCAAGAAGAAGACTTCCACCGTGGTTGAATGTTTCAGCCTGGATGCCACCTGGATGAGAAGCTTTGTCGTTTTATCTCCGTTTGCTTTGTTGGCCTTTCAAATGTCAGCCTGCTTAGGTGGGCCAGCGAGCGTGTTGCGTGTGCGATATTCGCCTACATAATCCGGCGACCTTTTTGTGAAATTAGCCCACACCACCACTGACCCACCATTCACACGCCGCCAATCAGCCACCTCCAACCACA